ACTGATTTTCAGCAGTCAAAATGATCTTAGAAAAATTAGTTAAAGTTCTGTTTGACTTCCCATTAACTTTGGCAGAGGACACTTCATTTGGTCTGTGTGGCTTTTGGCCTACAGATCTGACCCCAGCCACACTAACCTTCTCTCAGTGTCTCCAGTATGCCTAGCTGCTTCCCATCTCAGGGCCTTTGCATAGACAGTTTCCCATCAGTCCTTGTATTGCTCCATCTTCTATTCCACCCACATCATGAACCTGCCTCATTGTCTTGCACATTCAGCTCAAGTGTTTCTACTCAAGAACGCCTCCCCTAACTAGCACCACCACCAGGACTAGGATCTTCAGTTATGAATTCTGACAGCATGCTCTACCTTTCCTTTATAGGACCTTTAACAATCATAATTAAACTAACTAATAATGATAAAACACCCTGTAAGTTATTTAAACTATATCTTATTCCTTGCAGCCTCGTTCATGCCACATATCCATAACCCATGAAATTTAGCTTCACAAGCACAGATACTGCATCTTTCTGGTTCTCCACTGTATACCGTATGCCCATTTCCACGTCATGCTCAATAAACCATTGTCAAATGAAGGATCAAATAACTAGACTGAAAAAATTCAGTCCATACCCCATTTGGATCTACCCTCTGCAGTTCAATTATGTAAATATCAAAGACTCCAACTTTTAAAATGGAAATTGATTAGCACAGATATTAGATTGGAATTTCTAATTTTTGCCATTCACAAAAATAAATTTCAACTATAATCATAAAAAGGAGAATCGCTAAAGAGCAGAAAAAAATACAAGAAGAAACATTTGTGACTTTTGTACAGATTTGAAGATTCTTATAGTTAAAAACTGATGAACCACTTCAGACAACGTGTTACTTTGACTACAATAATTGCATTATTAAGAACTGTGTTATATAATATTGATCTATTTTGTTTCCTTTTCTTTCTTTTTTTTTCTGGATCATGTCTTATATTGCAGATGTGGAATTTATGGAGATAAATCATAAAATTAAGTGGCATGCAAATAACAATACTCTTTCATGATTTAATTAGTTTACTGATTTTTTTAAGGAGTAAAATAAATCTTTTATAAGTTTATATGCTGGGCCTTGCACAAAAGCCTAACGGCTAAAGTCCTTGCCTTGTACATGCTGTGAGGCCATATGGGCGCCAGTTCTAATCCCAGTAGCCCCGCTTCCCATCCAGCTCCCTGCCTGTGGCCTGGGAAAGCAATCAAGGACAGCCCAAAGCCTTGGGACTCTGCACCCACACAAGAGATCAGAAAGAGGCTTCAGGCTCCTGGCTTTGCATTGGCTCAGCCACTTGGGGAGTGAATCAACAGAAGAAAATTATCCTCTCTGACTTTTCTCCTATCTGTATATCTAACTTTCAAGTTAAAATAAATCTTTTTTTAAAACTTTTTAAAAAGTTTATATGCTATCATGAAGAGATCTCTCAAGACCACTGCTAAGGGAAAAAAATTAAATTCATCATGAACACATAGGCAAAAACACATGAACACACAAAACTGTACTATATATTTTCTATGGTTACATATGTACATAGTGTGTGAATATAGCAAAAGTTCTGGAAGATAAGGGCACCATACTCTTTTTTTTTAAAAGATTTATTTTTATTATTTTTTTATTGGAAAGGCGGATATACAGAGAGGAGAGACAGAGAGGAAGATCTTCCGTCCGATGATTCACTCCCCAAGTGAGTGCAATGGCCGATACTATGCTGGTCCGAAGCCAGGAGCCTCTTCCGGGTCTCCCACGCGGGTGCAGGGTCCCAAAGCTTTGGGCCGTCCTGGACTGCTTTCCCGGGCCACAGGCAGGGAGCTGGAAGGGAAGCGGGGCTGCCGGGATTAGAACCGGCGCCCATATGGGATCCCGGGTGTGCAAGGCGAGAACCTTTAACCACTTGCGCCACCGCGCCGGGCCCGAGGGCACCATGCTCTTAAGAATGGATAATTTCCGAAGATAAAGAAGCCAGATCCTTGGGTTTGTTTGTTTGTTTGTTTTGTCAAATTTAAGCTTGGCTTCTAAATCTTCACCTGTGTTCACCTGTGCACTTCCTTGTAATACCCAATTTTAGCAAGAAACTGCTAAATCGGCTTAGCAAAACTCCCCATTCTGGATATCTGGTCACCTCCTCATCCTCCAGCATCCCCAGGTCTTGTCAAAGCACCCTGATCTGTCCGTAGCAAGAATCCTGTTCCGCAGGTTTCACTAGAACTCACCTCACCCATGAGGGTTCCTCTGCGTCATTTTCTATCCAAAGCCTCCAACCTGTGCCTTGGCTATGAATTCCCACTGAGGTACTCTATATTTGGACTTGAGCCCAATCTTAGTTCTATATTTCAAAAACCCACTGCAGCAGCTCTTAAACCTATTGCAATGGTTGTGAATAAAGGTTGCCTTAATGTGTAATAACAAATATCATTGTCTAGAGCCAGTGCCATGGCCTTGCAAGGTAGTCTTCCACCTGTGCTTCCCACATCCTAAATGGTGCTAATTTTTGCCCCAAGCTGCTCCGCCTCCAATACAGCTCTATGCATACGATCTGGGAAAGCAGTGAGGGGCCCAAGTCCTTTGGCTCCTACACCAACGTAGGAGTCCTGGAGGAGGCTTCTCATTCCTGGCTTAAGATGGGCTCAGCTGCACCTGTTTGCATCATTCGGAGAGTGAACCAGTGTATGGAAGATCTCTTTGTTGCTCCTCTCTGTGAATCTGACTTTCAAATAAAAATGTACAGATCTTTTTATTTAAAAAGTATCATTGCCTAAATTTTTAACACTGTATATGTTAAATGTTTATAAGAAAATCTTCAAATATTATACACTTAATATTTTTTTAAATATTGAATAAAATATAGAAACTATCTGGCCTTCAGTAGGCTTTTGTGAACTACATATTCTAGCTTGGGATGGTTAGTTTCAGAGGGCTACGTGATGCCCAGATGGCTTCAAGGAGGGTCTGTTTTCCTGGAAGAGACGAGCATCCAAATCACCAGACTTAGGAGAGAAGACCCCTGTCAGTAACAGGAATTGGTTTTATCCAAATGGCTAAGGGCCCAGAGGAGAAGAAAAAAGGTAAAGGAAGGGCAAATTCACTCTTCTTAAGCCAGGACATCCACGTTTGGTTCCCTGAGAGTCTAATTTTGGGTTTTCTCCCCTGCAGGTTCTGGGTTCCTATGCCAACTCCTCCATGGCTCTTAAGCTCTGGACAGAATCACATCACCAACTCCCCTGGCTCTCCAGCTTGCAAGGGGCACATCAGGGGACTTCTCAGCCTCCCAGTCAGATGGGCCAATTGCCACAACAAGCTCCTTTTGTGTTTTTATTGATGTCTCCCTGTTTCTGTTTTCCTGGAGGAATCTAAGACCTTTTCCCTCTGAAAGTGACTAATACCTTCAATTCCCAAAATAATAAACACATCACAGCCATGTGTCTCATGAAGATGTGTGAAGACAACGCTGGCACATGGCATCTGGAAAGTGGCAGGATCCAGGGTGAAAGGTAGAATGAGAAAGTGAAGGAAAATGCAGGTATAGCCAGAAATGCCACAGACTCAGACCGCCCCCTCCAAAAAACTGGGACACAGTCTGAGAGCAAAGATAAACACACATACTCCAAAGGAAAGCTATCAAACAGTTACTATTCTGCTAAGTTTCTATTGTGTACCAATAAATTCTATTTGAAATAAACCATTTAGGTGGCCATACTACACCAAAGTGGACTACAAGACCAACATCCCATGTGGGCACTGGTGCCATTCCCTGGCTGCCTCACTTCCCATTCCTGCTCCCTGCTTACTGTCCCGAGAAAGCAAGAGAAGATGACCTAAGGATTGGGGCTCTGGCATCCACGTGAGAGACCCTGATGCAGCAGCTGCTTCCTTCTGGCTTCCACCTGGACTGCAGCCATTTGGAGAGTGAACCAACGGATGGAAGAGCTCTCGCTTTTAAATAAGCAAATAGGAAAGGGGTGGAGAAGAAGGCCGGTGCAGAGGAAGAGAGGAAAGGCAAGGAAAGAGAAATCATTTAGACCTGCCAGTCTCATTACGCCTACGTAACAGGATGGCCAGAATGCAGAGAAGCACTGAGATTTGGCCGGGGTCCTGTAAATTATGGTGAATGCAAAACCTAGCCTTCAAACCCCAAAAGATGTAATGTTGCGGGAAGATGTAAAGGGTGAAATCTAAATGAAGAAAATCATACAGGCAGCCAACTCAAATACACTAAAGACCAAAAATGGGACTGTAAAAAGCGAGAGTGTAAAAGAAAAGCCCCAGCATCCATCTATTTACTAGTCGTTGCAGAAGACGAGGGAGACACAACCCACGCCCAGCACACAGAGGAACGAACCTCCCAGAGCCTAGACAGGCTCCAGCGCGGCCGGGAGGCGGGGCAGGCAGCCGCTTCCGGTTCCGGGCACCGAGGCCCCACGTGTTCCGACCCGCTAGGCCCCGCGCCGCTCGGATCCGGCGCCGCCGTTCCGGCCGGGAGTGGGTGGGGGAGAAGTCGGGGCAGGGGAGGAGCCGCCGGAGCTGCGGGAGCCGTGAGTGTTGGGGGGCCGGGCCGGACCGGACAGGGTCCGGCAGGGCCGGGGAGGACCGGGCAGGGCCGGGCGGGGAGGCGGGGGAGGACCCGGAGACCCCGCCCCCCCGGAGCCTTGGGGGGGGAACGCTGGCCGTCCTGGGGACCGGGAGGCTGCCGGGGGCCGAGGGACTCGAGACCGGCGGCCTTGGGGGTTGCCTGCTGCTGGCGCAGGTCCGAACCGGCGCCTCCCGGGATGCGTCCCTCGCTGCCCAGCCGCCGCCCTCCGCCCCTCCGGGGCCTGCAGCAGCGCAGTTAGCAAGCACCTCCTCCTGCTTCCGCGCCCACCGCCGGCTCGGGCTGGGCGGAGGGGAGTGGTCACGGCCCCTGGGTTTGCTGCTGCCTGTCCTCACCCCGCCTCTCCGAGGGGCTCCGGGAGCCCTTCCCTGGCAGGTTCCCCGCCAGCCTGTCCTAAAGCAGGCCCGCGCGCGCAGCTTGGCTGCTCGCCTCGCCGGTGATCTTATCACCTGTGAGCCTGTGCAGACCCCGAGCCTTTCCTAAGAGGCAGTCGCTGGGGTGTCCACTCGCAATCCGGCCCTTAACAGCCAGTGTCGGCACCACCGAGCACCGCTGGGAGCCCTCAGCAGCAGCACTCGGCCCTCCTGTCTGCCTTGACTAAAAGTTTGCTAGTTTGGATGCTGGAGACAGACGGCATTGCCCCCCCGGGGGGTGGGGGGGTCAGTCCCAATTTTTAGCTTTCCGAAACAGGCGGTGTGTCCATCCAAAAATGCCTCCATGGTAATCCTTTCTTTCTACGTTGGTGTCTGGCCTGGCCTTCCCTCCCCCCATGGAGGCTGTGCCTTAGAGCCAGCCCCTCTCAAAGCACCTTGGTCCCGCTGAGCAGTTCGGGCTCCCCCTAAGAGGCTAGGCTTAGAACTGTTGCTGTTTTCTCTGTCCACACTCTGCAGGTGACAGCTACATTCAGAAGCCACCAAGAATGCTGGTGGAGCCCCTCCTCCCTCCCAGCTTCTCTTCCAAGCTGCCCCATGGCCCCTGATCCAGAAAGCTACTTCAGAAAGGTTGTGGGACTAGCCACGGGAGGCATGTTGGTGGGATGTGCGTGAGAGTGTGCAGTTAGGGTTTGCGCCGGCTTGGGGACCTCTCTGCTGCTGTTGCGTGGCATGAGGGGGAGCCAGGTTGGGGAGGGGAGTGAAAGTGTCCTCCCAGCACCAAACACCTGGGATTCATACTCTCTCCCCCTTTCTCCTCCAGATCTAGCCCTTTCGCACTCTATCCTCTCTTGCAGTAGACATTTCAAGGGCACGGTGAGGTTTACTACAATGTGAGGGACTGCTGGTCGTTACAGACTAGACCGATGAGGTAAGTGACAGGTTTACACAGTTTTCCCAGTTTATTTGGCTGATGTGAAATGGCCCTGGATGGTTTCTGGTTTTGCTGCCCTCTTACCAGCCATTCATTCCATTTGACCACACTTTGAAAGTCGTTCTCTGAACCCCAAATTACTTCCTTGCCTTAGATGGTGGTTCTGAAACTTGCCATCCTAACTTTGGTGCCTGAAGGGCTTGTTAAACAGCCAACCAGCATTGATGAGCACAATGGAAAATGGCTTGACTTTGATAGCAAGCCTCGGCTGGGGCTGGAGGGCTTGCATGGCCAGCGGTCTCAGGCTGCAGGTAGATCTCTGGCTTTGAGATCTGCAGCCATTTGTGCACTGGAGCCCTTGGAGACGTAACAACCTGTGAGCACTGCTCATGCTGGGACCTAGTAATCTGGTCTTTGGTGGGGCATGTAACCAGGCAGGTCTGCATTCTTTTGCTTGTGAAACCAAGTACATTTAAAAAAAAAAAAAAAAACAGGACAAAAAACAATGCTGCATTATCTTAAATCAAATTTAAGATGAAATAATGGTGACCTTTTTCTCCTTGACTTTATTGTTTGGATAGGCAGCTTTGGTTGTGATCACGTAGATGATCCCATGTCTGAGTTCGTGCTGTAAATGCTTGGTATTGCTGAAGTCCCTGCTGTTTCTTAACTACTTGTTAACATTTCTGAAGGTCTCAGTCTGTGATTCACCTGTGTCTGGCCAGCACCTCAGATCCGATATAGTGGGTATTTGTCATGGCATCAGCTCTGCCCCTAACCTCTTCCTCTTGAAGTTTTTCATGCCATGTCACAGTAAAGTACACTATAGCTAGACCACCTGGCCTTCCCCGCAAGTGACTGGAATGAATGAGAAAGCCATACTCCTTTGCCTATCACCATGAGCAATTTATTGCTCAAAGTCCCTTGCATCCACTGATTCTGGATTTTTCAGTACTTCTAATTCCAAGTTGGCATAAAAAAAGTGTATTGAGTTCCTTTTCTACTAAGAGCTTCATCAAGTGGTAGGCCTGAGGAATATGACAATAAATAAGGAAATCCTTCCTCTGAAGGGCAGGGCTCACAGTGAGGGAGACAGACACTAAACACCCATGTAAAAAATGGCACTTTTGGATCATGACAGTCTGTAGTGGGAAAAGCTGGCTGTCCTCACACTACTGTAGTTTAGCAGGCAGGGGTCACATCATTTGTCATCAAAGAGAGCCTTGGGCAGAACCTTGGAGGAGACTGTCAAAGCAGTAGGTGGCTGCTTGGATATGGCATCTCAAAGCCATAAAGAGATATGACTGGAGTTGACTTGTTCTGGATTCCCCATATCCAGTACCTCAGGTCAGACTCCATTTGTATGTTTCTAGTGAAATGATTATTCTAATTGTGTGATTGGCATTGACCATGTTCCTGGTAGCAATTGAATATACCTAGTTGTCATTGTGACTGCCAGGTGAGAGTGGGCTGCTCTCATAAGGGTGGGTGTCAAGTTTGATGTCTCTTAGTTTGCCTACCTCATTTTCACTTGTGATTTGTTTTAAGCTGAAGTGTGTAAGTTGACCTTCACTCTTAGGTCAGTAACCACTTCTGGATAATACCCCATAAGTTTAGAAAGTCTAGCTTTGTGTAGAATATTATCCAGCATGATCATAGTAGCCAAGTTCAAATTCAAATTCTCTCCTGTTAAAATCTGTATTTGGCTTCCTGAGTAAGTCCCTCACACCCTCCTGGCTAATACCTACTCGACCCAGTACTCAGCAGAGTAGCCAGGTGTTCTTGTTCATTTCAAAGCCTTCCTCACACTGTTAAAAAGCTGGTCACTTTCTTCAAAGGGATTTCTCTGGGCCTTGAGGAAAGACTCATCGCTGTGGTGCAGATGAGTTTATGTAGCATCTGCTTCTTGTGGAGGAGCAAGGAGTCCATGCAGGTCCTTTCTCTCCGAAAGCTGGCCCGTCTGTTGCTAACATTGCCTGCTAGGCAATGCAGGAGATGACTGGCTAGAAAAATATTTTATTTAAAAATAGATTGTTAGGATTTTTCTCTAGCATTTCTGTGTTTACATTTTCTCCCCCTGTGTTTTTAGACCTTGATGCTAACCACAGAGGCTACAGTCCTTAAGAAGAGGGCTATGTCAGGACCTCCACAGGCTGCCTTAGCCCCACTGCTTACTGGGCATCTCTGTTTCTTCCCATCTTCCCCCATGTCTACCCCTAATTGTTTCTTCGAAACCTGTTGTAAAGACTTGAGCCACTTCACTCCTTCCTATTCAAATATGGGTTTTATGAAAGGGAGAACAAAGGGTATAAAGGAATAATTCCTAAAATTGTTCAACCTAATCATCCTCGTGTGTTAGCAGGCAGGAAGTCAGGGGATGTGCTCCCTTATTCCTCTTGCCTTCTGGTGAAGTTTTCATAGAACCGCCTAGGTTTACTAACTGAATTGGCCTCGTTGCCTCCTACCAGTTACTAGGACAGGAGAGAACTTGCTGTTGGTAAGTAGAAGCATTGAGCAGGGCAGTCCTTACGGGCGCATTGCATCTGTGTTCTTAGGCCTTTGTTCCATCTTAGCTTATTGCCTTTAAAGTAAGAACTGGTTTTAGCACTTCATTTGTGGCATAACGGTAGAAAGTTGTTTATCATTTAAATCTTGCCTTCTTCCCAAAAGGGTTTTAAATAGCTTGAGAAAAGACAGAGAATAAAATACACTGAGCATCTTCCCTGTGCCTGTCTGTATGCCAATAGATTCCTATAGGTTACGTACTACTGCTTAAAACAAGTATGTGAAGTACATTGTAGTAGTCCTGTTTTAATAATATAGTGTTGTTGGAAATGAAAGTAGGGATTCATACCCAGTGTTGAAGTCCCTAACCAGTACCCAGAAAGCCTAGATGCACATTTGGACATAGGGCAATTAAAACAATAACAAAACAGAATCTTCCCAAGTGAAGGATTATATTGATAACATCTCTAAAGAGTGGTAGCATGGAAAAAGACAAGACAGTTAACAGGTTTTATTTCTCAATTTGTATCCAAAAATAGTGAGAGTAGCTGTTGAAAGGTCTTTAGATGTCTAGGTTATCATCTGCATTCAAATAAAAGTAAGAATGCAAGCTGGAAGGTGTGTAAATATCTGCTAGATATAATCATTTGATTCATTATTTTCTTCTAAAGATACTTATTTGCCAGTAAATAGATCATCATCTCTCCTTTAGGTAAATCACTGTCATTTAGGAACAACAGAGATCACCCCTGTTAGTAGTGTTTCAAGTTGGAGAACTAGATATTCTCTCATCACTTGTGGATTTGCTTGTGTCGGGGGAATTTTGAGGGCCTTCACTGTTAAAGTGATGCCTACAAGTAAGGAAGAGGCCAGTGGGCCAAGGATTACAGAATGGTGTTGCTTCTCCATGTCCTCCCCAGCCCTACACCACAGATCCGAAACACCCTCCCACTCAGTCCCCTAGGCCATGGACCTGCCCAAGCTTGTTTTTCCTGACCTAGTTTCACATTCTGTCTTATTTTGTTTTTCAGTTTTTAAACTCACTGTGGAATCCTTTCAAGGAGAGTCATTGAAAAAGACATTAGAATAGCAAGGACCACAAATTGGAAAGCAGATTTGTGGCATAGCACATCCCATGAATTTTTGAATAGGACGTTCATGTTCTGTCTATAATACTAATATATATACATTTGGTATGTGCATAGCCCATTTTAATTCAGAAAGCACTCTTGGCTCAGGTAATGAAGTCAGTTATGATCATGATTCTCTGCATGAGGCTTTACCTGAGGTGAGAGCTCTTGTGTGTGTTCTCTCATGAATCCCCATAGTTGCTCTAGTTACTTGATGATTTGGGGTTGGGACATAGATCTTTGGTATCCAGTCTCGAGCTTTGCTCTGCACTGTGTTACTGTGCTATTCCTTTCCATCTCTTACCTCTTCCCTTTCATTCCCACTGCTTCTCTTTTTCTTCGTTGGTGCCTTCTTCATCTTCTCTTCCTTGGCTGCCAAAATAAATGTAAATTGAGCAGCAAATATCTAGTTTATAACTTATGTAAGGATTTGCAAATGACAGGTTTAACAAAATGCATTTATTTTAAAGTAATGAGCAAAGCCTACTGAGAGCAAGAGCCTTCTGTTAGTGCAAAGGGTGTAGAATCCATAGTATGGTATCTTTTTTCCAGAGCTACTTGAAAAGAACGAAAGTTTCTAGTCCACTTGGCTGAATTTTTTTCTCAAACTTCTGAAATGATAGATTCTTTGTTAAAGACCCTGTGTACCAATTCTGCATTTCCCTCTCCCTACAGGGTGGGAGTTGGGGTTGAAGAGTGTCGGAAAGCTTTGTCTGGATAAATGATGAGTATTGCAATTGCCTCAAGTTACTTAATATTTTGTCTTTGTACATATTTTTTTCATTGGTCTTTGTGCATATTGAAATTGATTCAAATCCTCAAAGGAACATGATTTTCTTTCAAATGTTCAATTGTGTGTGACTTCCATTTGGGTTATTCCTAGATAAACTTAAAAATTTCTTGTGATGACTTTGGGTTCTGTCACTTTGGGGACCACTAGGAGTATTCTGTTTTTCTCACAGTGAAAATTAATGTCTTTTCTTATTTATTTATTTATCCAGCACACAGTTTTCTGGGCAAACGAATAAATAAGTTAATGCAAATGATATGATATCTGTCCTTTCAGAAACAGGCTTAAATAAAAGTGTGTTTTACATTCACCAAATGAGTACTGTTGGGTACCAGACTCCAATCTGGGTGCAACATGTCCTTTCCCAGAACCTCACAGTACAGTGAGATTAAACACAACAAGATGAACAACTGCTATAACAAAGTATAGCTACATGTGCGTGCTCTGATATGGCTAGGTACAAGTTCCTTTGGGAGCATAATCTGGAATGATTAGGGAAGGTACTATAGGAAAACTAAAGTTCAAAGAATGACAAAAGTTAGTAAGTGAAGGGACTGCACAAACAGTATCAGCAAATTTGGTTAGAGCGTGGGAAAGAAATCGTGACAAGTCAGTCACTCCAGCAGTAACCCTCAGTAAAAGTGGTAGTCACAGCGAAAAGAAGTCCTCAGAAACCATGTTTTGCTGGGCCTTGAACATCAGGTTGCAAGGAGTTTTGAGTTTTATCCTAAGGCTACCACAAAGCCATTGGAAAATGTTGTATGTTTAGAAAGCTCACTACTCAGTCTTCACAGTGTTGAGTGAAGCTAATGTGGGTAAGCTTCCTGCCCTGGCCATCTCCCTCTCTGTTCCAAAAACTAAACCATAATGTATAGGTTTCAGAAGTAGAAATGAAACCTTGAGGAATAAATACAAGTTGATTGTACCATGAGCCAAGGAGATGTCACACCAAAGAAAGTTTTCTAGGATTGTAATACCTGTGCTTCACTCAGGAACTAAGACTCATATACTAGGGAGCTTGGAAGTTATGGAATTGAGCTACTTTTCCATGAAAATCTGCTATGTCTTCATAGATTTAGCACCTTCATAGGTTTAACACCCTGGTTAAAAGTATAGAATTGTCCAAAATAGACTTAGACTATGATGAAGTGTGTTGTAAATGACAGGATAATGGAATAAGCACATGATGAAATGATTTCAGGGGAACCAGTCACAAATAAGGTGGTTATTGGCTGAGCCCATGCTGGGCAGCAAAGATGAAATGCAGCTTTTGAGAGTGAGCTGCTAACCATAATGGTGAAGCTGAAGCAGCTGCACAAGAGAAGGATCCTTGGAGCTACATGTGTGCACTGGTGTGAAGACCCATCATGCAATTTAATTGTCTAGTCACCATAGACATGCTACAGAGGCACAGAGGATATGGTCATTTTTAATAGATTCTGTTATTACCTTCTGCTGCATCATGGTGGCTCAACCAGAAGAATGACAATGCAGATAAAGAAATGGATGAATTTGGACATTTTCTTTAGACAGAATTAATAAAACTTGGTGAAGAATAAAAGAAAAAGCATAAGACAGGAAAAGATGGGTTCCATATATATATTAAAGTAGGAAGAAAGCTTCTAAGATAAAAGTGTATTCATTTCAAATGCATAGTAGTCCTATGTTATCCATGAAAAGTATGTCTCAAGACTCGCAGTAGATTCCTGAAATTAGGAAGAGTACTGAAACTTCATCTCACTGCATTTGGGTGCAACATATTGCCATCATTTTTCTGCTATTGTCTTCCACTTCCAAATTTAATGCCTTTCATTTAAGCACTTAACAGATTGTAGCCACAACTTTGGCAGTTTGAGATGTGGCCGCCAAATTTTCACAACTGTCTTTTTCCTTCACAGTTTTACAGATGTAGCTCTGAACAACCTCAGCATGCAAACTTCTTTTCTTATTAAGTCAAGAATTTCCACATTATAGCTTAAGGAAACTTTTTTTTGGCTTCTCTTTTAACATTGCACCAGCGTTTCTTTTTGGGACCATTATTAAATAAAATAAGGGTTATTTGAACACAATGCCTATCATGACAGTAAGATAATCTGATAGTAGAGATGGTTACCAGGTGGCTAATAGGCAAGTAGTGTGGGTAATTTGACTACACTGGACAAGGGATGATTGACATGCTGGCAGAGTGGAAAGCAAGGGTGCAAGGTTTTACCACACTTGTTAGAATAGCACCTAAGTTAAAACTTAAGAAGTATTTATTTCGGCTGTGTTCTTTGTAATATTTTTGAATCTTGGTTGGTAAACAATTAAAACCATGAAAAATTAACCACAGATAAGTGGAGACTAACGGATTATACACTGCAGTGTAGATACTGGAGAGTAACAAACAGTCCTCACTTGTTGCAGGAAAAATAAACAGTGAGTGTGTAATATAGCAATTACCATGATCAAGATGTGCCCAGATGGCCATTGAGGAAGATAAGAGATTTCTAAATGTTTGGAGTAGGGGAATGAAACCCAAGAAAACCTCAGAAGACCATGAAGCCTGAGTCATGCCTTGAAAATAAACTTTAAGCAGTTCTAAAGAGAAGGTAGAGCATATTAGAAAGCTGTCACAGGACTTCGATGTGTATGAGAGAAAAGATTGGACAGGAGAGCAGAGGGCACAACAAAATGAACGTCAGCCTAGTACATAGTACTTTGAAGTTTGTATTCACCTGAAAGACATAGAATTGTTGGAGTAACTAGGTTTGGCAAGAGCTCCTTCAGGCAGTACTCTTAATAGTACATTGAAAAGATCAAAGCTGGGGACAGGGAACTTGTATTTGGAGACAGTTGTAGTCCAGGTGAGAACTGTAAAACGTGGGAATAAAGGAGAAGTTGATGGGGAAAACTAGGAACAGGAGGAGTAGGGGAATATTCTGTGCAGAAAGGGCAGGCTTCAAGAAAGCATGAAAAGGCATCCTGTTTTAGATGGATTGGTGTATTCGTTACAGGTAGGTGATAGAGAAAGAGTCCAGCATTGGCCTTGAAAAACAGCTTGGCTATTCAATGTCCAAGATTTCAGAATGGGTCTTAACTAATGTTAAGAAGTTAGTTTTTAAACATGAGCAATGTACTTAGAGCTGTAACTTAGATGATGATTAATAGTGAAGTGTATTAGTCTTCTAAACATTCAAAATATTAATGCATTTAATTCTGCACCTGTTGAATGAATGCCGCAAGTATATGTTTCATGAACGGACAAACTTGCATAAAGAGAATAAGAAAATGACCATGGTTCCACCTATGTCCTATGCCAGGTATATGGAAGAACCAGGATTCAGACCTAACCTGTACCTTCCTCAATATTTCTCAAATGTGGGTGCACCTTAGGACCTTCGTGTCACCTTTTCTTATGAGGCAGCTGTCTGGAATGAATCAGAATGTTGAAAAGAACGATGTGTGATATTGTGGCCTTTTGCAGAAGCTCCTCTGCTAATTCTGTTGGACTGCTTATAACTGAGTGCTAATGGGAACTCAGTCAGGAGGTCATGGCAGAGGTTCCAAAGAGATGGTGAGGGCACACACTGAAGCAGTGTGCAGGAAGGAAGAGGGAAAAAGCGCTTCAGAGGGGTAGGTGTTAGGATTAGCTTCAGGAGCTTTAAGCATTGAAGAAGAATCAAGTGAATCCAGTGATGCAAAGTTGTTTGTCGGTAGGGATGATCTCAGCCAAGATAAGATTCCGCAAAAAGTGCATTTGTAAGTAAGAATCATGAATTTTGAATTTAAAAATTAAATTCAATATTAAAGATTAATTAAAGATGTCTTAACAAGAAAAAGGTTGGTTTTTAGGGTTTCTAGGTGCCAGCTTCTTGTGTAATACACACTATTATAATCCTCCCTTCAAATCTCTGAGTTCTCATCTTTCCCAAGTTAATATTGTATATTAATAATGTATTTCCATAAAGCCTTCCCCATCTGTGACAGGCCTGTGTCATCTCAGAATGTATGAATGTTCTTCAAAATGTTCATGGGAAACAATTCTTAAAAATAATTTATTTGGGGGCAAAAATATTTTGAAATCAATACACACTTGTGTCATGACGTACATTTTTCACGAGCTTCTTAAAGGTCCCTTTTATGTGTCGATTTCAAAACTTTGCACCCAAATAAAGTTATCTTTTACTCTCCTTTCTTCACACGTTTTGGAGTACCATCGTGCGTAGTGGTACAGATCTAAGTAGGCAGGTGTGTACAGAATACACTAGTCAGCAGTAGCAGGTGATTCTGAGCTTCCTTGCTGCTAGGAATTTGAATGCTGCAGGGACCCTGGTGTAAGCAGTCCCAGCAAGAGGCCAAGGCAGAGGTGATGAGTGTCTAGCTGCTAGGAAGGAAGAAGAGCAGATTTAGAGACATAGGAGGGAAAATTGGCAGCATCCATGAACAAAGTAGAAAGAACAAGGCAGCTATGAGCTGTGAATATGGTCTAGGAAAGATAGAGGATATTACCTTTAGTTACGCAGGGTCCTGTGCCCACTAGAGCTATTGACAGCACGGGAGTGTGGAGATCAAAGGAAAGAATTGTGTGTAGAAGATTGTGACTAAACAAACTGTTCCCCGTGCTTATCATTTTATGCTTAACTCTGCTGTCTTTATTTCTCCATCCAGGTCCAATGGGAGAAACTCCTTGAGGTGTCCAGGCCAAGACTTGTGGGCAATGGCTGTGTGAGTGCTAGGTGGTGTGAGACCACCACAGAGCCAGGAAATGGCCACAGCCTTGGAGCCAGAGGATCAGGGGCTTTGGGAAGAAGAGGGAATTTTCACCGTGAAGCTGGAAGATGATTTCACCTGTCGGCCAGAGTCTGTCTTGCAGAGGGACGACCCTGTGCTGGAGACCTCTCACCAGAACTTCCGACGCTTCCGCTACCAGGAAGCGTCAAGCCCTCGAGAAGCGCTCATCCGACTCCGAGAACTTTGTCACCAGTGGCTGAGGCCAGAGAGGCGGACGAAGGAGCAGATCCTGGAGCTGCTCGTGCTAGAGCAGTTCCTTACCGTCCTGCCTGGAGAACTGCAGAGCTGGGTGCGGGGCCAGCGGCCTGAGAGTGGCGAGGAGGCGGTGACGCTGGTGGAGGGTTTGCAGAAACAGCCCAGGAGACCAAGGCGGTGGGTGAGGAGGGGGAGTCCTGATCTGTGTGATGTGGAGGGGGACTCGTTACAGGAATGCCGGATTGCCAGGGTCCCCTGTAGCTTACCCCTTGGATCTAATCACCTCAACCTTGGGTGTGCTATCACATTCAGGGTGCTCATGGCAGGGGGATGTGTGTGTATGAGTGTGACTTTCTGGGTTTAAAACACCTGCCAAGGGAGCATCTGAGGGGGCATCATCCTCCTAAGTCATGGCCCTGGTGTTCCCTATGGATGGTGAGCTTTTCATTTCCAAGGGAAAAGAATTTTGTGGCTTCCTCCAAAGCTCTTTTAGATACCCAGTCCCAGCCCTACTTCCAGAGCAATCAGCCAGGACAGTGGACAGCAGGGGGAGCTGCAGGTGGTGGTGTACCTGGATGTGGGTGGGATGGGTACCTCCAAGCCCTGACTCCTGGAGACAGGGTGAAGGGAAGGGTGAGTGTCCTCTACCTTGCCCTAGGGAGGGGAGGAGACCCTTCAGCTACCCTTCATAGGCCTCCCCATCCAGGTCCCTCCAGGAAAGCTTTCCTCTAAAAAACTGCTAAATGAAGCCTTGATGACAACCAAGAAGTTTCTCCTGACTGTACGGTGACTGGAAGTTGAAATTATTCCCAGGTGACCGTCCATGTTCACGGCCAGGAAGTCCTCTCAGAGGAGACTGTACATCTAGGGCCAGTGCCCGGGGCCCCCAGGGAGCTGCAGGATCCTATACAGACCTCAACGTCCGAGCAATCCCAGGAGGAAACCACACACAGCCTGGAGCAAGAGGCAGCAGAGGAGCAGAGCGCAGGCAGCGAAGAGGAGCTGCGGCCTCCTGAGATTGGTGAGAAACCCCAGCCAAACGGGATGTGGCCTAGTGAGTTGTGGGGGAGGTGGAGAGGTTCCTCCTCTACCAAGGAGAAAGTAGATTGAGGTTGGAAGGACTCAGAAAATCCACACTCTTGTTGAGACACTTCCCACCAGCGTTCCCTATAAATGGAGCCAAACCTAGCAGCATTCTCGGTTATTCTGTTGATGTTCTGCTCGTCTTCCTACTGCTAGAATTGCAAAGCTGTCCTTTGAACAGTTTCTTGATTGTTGTAGCAGGGACATTAGGACCACATTCCTGCCAGAGATGATGGGGGATGCTCAACTTTCTGTCAGTCACTGTTAAGCAGTGTTACTGATATCTGCCCTTTTTTTTTTTTTTTTTTTTTTTTTTTTTTTGTCTCTGTTAGAAGTCCCAGTACCCCAGGACCCAGAGCTGCCTGCTGAGGGGACCTCTGGAGAGCCTGAGATGGTTGCCCTCCTCACTGCTCTGTCGCAGGTGCGCCCCGATTGTGCATCACAGAGTCTGTTTGAAGAGCCTGTCGATGTCGGTAATCTGTTAAGCAGGTCAGGCTGGACACAAATTCACCTTGCCCTTTGGCAAGTGTAAGTTCTCAGGAGGAGAAGAGATTATAAGGTAAATCGTAACACTACCAATTGTCTACAGGCTCCATAGCCTCTTGATTCCGTTGACCAGAGGGACTAGCAAAATGGGATTATTTTGTGGCACTACAGTACAACTGTTTTTGTTTTAGATTTATTCATTTACTTATTTGGAAAGCAGATTGAAAGAGAGGAAGAGAGAGTTTTTATCCAGTGATTTACTCCCCAAATGGCTATGACGGCTAGGGCTGGACCAAGCTGAAGCCAGGAACCAGAAACTGAGTTTCCCACATGGTTGATGGTGACCCAAGTACTTAGACTTCTTCTGTTGCTTTCCCAGCAGCATCAGCAGGATTAGAAGCAGAGCAGCTGGGGTCAGAAGCAGGCCAGCCCTCAGACTGCAGCACCAACCATATCATGCAGGTGCCAGTTTGAGTCCCAGCTGCTATATTCCTGATCCAGCTCCTTGCTTATGATTTGGGAAAACAGTGGAGAGTGACACAAGCTTTGGAACCCCACACCCACATAAGAGATCCGGAAGAAGCTCCTGTCTCAGCTCTGGATACTGTGGCCATTTGGAGAGTGAACCAGTGGAAGAGGTCTCTCTCTGTGTGTCTTTGTTTCTCCTTTTCTCTCTATAAAAACTGTCTCTCAGATAAAAACATATAAATCTTTAAAAAAAAAAAAAAAAAGGCAGTGCAGTCAGGATTTGAACCTGTACTTTGATACAGGATGTTGTTGTTACAATGAGCAGCTTAACTTGACACAACACAACAACTTCTGTAATATAGCATTGAAGTTGATGAGTGACAGGGTTGGTTTGTTTTTTTGTTTTTCTTTTTTAATAAGTTTTTTGGCCAAAGACTGTCCCACTACCAAGGGTCAGAGCCCTGAAACTAAGCTATGTGGCTAGAAATTGAAGCAACCAAGTTTATCTGTAGGGTCAGATTATAGTCTGGCTAGAAACAAAAGTCCTACTTGGCATTGACTGTAAATAAATAGGGTCAGTTAAGAATAATTTCACAGAAATGAATTTTTACAAATACAGATATGGAGCCCAGTGCAGTAACCTACGGGCTAAAGTTCTCACCTTGCATCTGCCAGGATCCAAATGGATGCCAGTTCATGTCCCAGCTACCCCACTTCCCATCCACTTTCCCTGCTTGTGGCCTGGGAAAGCAGTCAAGGACAGCCCAAAGCCTTGGGACGCTGCACCCATGTGGGAGACCCAGAGGAATCTCCTGGCTTCGGATGGGCATAGTATCAGCCGTTGGGCTCACCTGGGAGTGAATCATTGGACGGAAGATCTTCCTCTCTGTCTCTCCTCCTCTATAAATCTGCCTTTCCAACAAAAATTAAAAATAAATATAAAGATGGTATTAAGACATCAAATAAGGAATTTCATGATGAGTTTTAAAGAACTGTTTTGAATTTTAAACGTGAAGAAAAATACATACCAGCCCAGAGGGACAGCAGTTGACTAGGGGTGGTCAAGGTGTGGCCAGTGCTTCCCCCAAGCCAGTAGACAGAGGACGCCTCTGGAGCCGTTGCAGTTTGGTCTCCTGGGTGGATGCTGCCTGTGCCTGTGAACTTGTTCCAGGAGGAAATTCGGAGGCTCCCTCCAGAGTGTCACATTCTGATTGAATCCTTGTGCTGTTTCAGGGCCTGGTGACTTTCAAGGATGTGGCTGTTTGCTTCTCCCAAGACCAGTGGAGCGATCTGGATCCAACACAGAAAGAGTTCTATGGAGAATACGTCTTGGAAGAAGACTGTGGAATAGTAGTCTCTTTGTGTAAGTAATTTCAAGCCTTTATATAGCTGAGCTGTTGGAAATGGGAGGACTGATCTCACATCTTAGGTTATGTGTTCTGATCTGCTATTAACGCTTCCCCACCAATGCAATTAAAGAAATCGTTGACTATGTAAGGGCTAGGTGGTGTCCTTCCAAGTTGAGAGTAAGAGAACAATGCTCAGAAACCTCTAGTAAGAAAATTATGCTGTAATGTTTTAGCTCTAATATAGAAATGTTTGATGTAAGCATTTAAATGTCAGACGAGATCAGGCGTGTTCAGGGTGGTATGGCCGTAGACGCTGTAAGCATTTAAACTTCAAAACAAGCAGTTAGGAAGATAATTGTTTTCATGAATATGGAAAAAGAGGATGAGGTTTACAGTGATGCAGGTAAAAAGCACAAGGAGGGCAACAGATGGCCGAGTTAAAGGTACAAATGTTAAAGAGAGCAAAACAGTCATCAACTGACTTAAATAAGTATGTGCTCGCAATCCACCAAAGAGAACAGGCCAGCTCTTAGCACAGAGAGTTGCTGAGCCCATCGTGATGCCCTGCCCTCCCTCTCTTGAACAGCGTTTCCAATCCCCAGACTAGAGGAGATCCCCCAGGAGATCGAGGAAGAGCCACAGGTCCCAGATGTCGCAGAGCCTCCTCACGAGCTAGAAGAGCCAGAAATCTTGAGTTTCATTTACACAGGTGAGAAACCCACCCTGAGCTGGCCCCTCCTCAAATCAGTGCTTCACCTGCTAAGGTCCCTTCCCCTTGCTTCTCCTAACATCAGCCATTACTGCCCACTCCCTCTGCTCGCCAGTTCTTCTGTTGTTTTCCTCTTCTTGACTCCCCTCCTTTGATTTGTTAGAGGGCTTTGGAGTCCAAAATGGGAGAAGAAAAATAAAATAGGTAAGCTTCTGGAATCACACCTGTACCATTTACCACATAGCTCATTTAAGCACTGGGATCTCGGTCTCTGCATTTGTACAATGAGGATAATGACACTGCCCCATTATAAAGATTTTTGAAACCATGTATAGAAAACTGTCTGCCAATGGGTTATTCTCTTCTTTCCCAGCCTCTGCCTGTATGAACTAGTGGCTGTTCTCCATACAGAATTGATCTCTGCAGACCCTGATAGAAAATACCCTCTTAGGTTGAAGGTATTGTTGTCACTATAATTTCCCCTTTTCTCCTCTCATCCCTTGTGTAGGAGATAGGAGTGAAGATGAAGAAGAACAAGAAGACCTGAGTTTGGAGGATATGCACACATCTACTTTGGAAGATCCAGAAATTCACCAGACTCCAGATTGGGAGGTGGTCTTTGAAGATCATCCAGGAAGACTTAATGAAAGATTTAGCACAAATGTTTCTCAAGTTAATAATTTCATAACTATTCCAGAAACTGTCCCCATCCACCCCCTGCTAGGCAGACATCATGACTGTCCTGTTTGTGGAAAGAGCTTCACCTGTAATTCCCACCTGGTGAGGCACCTGAGGACTCATACAGGAGAGAAACCGTACACCTGCATGGAGTGTGGGAAAAGTTACACACGAAGCTCACACCTTGCCAGGCACCAGAAGGTTCACAAAATGAGCACTCCTTATAAATATCCCCAAAACCGAAAAAATCCAGATGGAGCACCGCCTGTGATTCAGGCTGAGAGAGCTCCACCTGTTGAGAAACCATACAGATGCAATGATTGTGGAAAACATTTCCGCTGGACTTCAGACCTGGTCAGGCATCAAAGGACGCATACAGGAGAAAAACCCTTTTTCTGTAATATTTGTGGCAAAAGCTTCAGCCAGAAATCTGTGCTAACAACACACCAAAGAATCCACCTTGGGGGCAAGCCCTACTTGTGTGGAGAGTGTGGAGAGGACTTCAGCGACCACAGGCGCTATCTGGCACACCGGAAGACACATGCCGCCGAGGAGCTATACCTGTGCAGCGAGTGTGGGCGCTGCTTCAACCACAGTGCAGCATTTGCCAAACACCTGCGAGGCCATGCCGCAGTGAGGCCTTGCCGGTGCAATGAGTGTGGGAAAAGCTTCAGCCGGAGGGACCATCTTGTCCGGCATCAGCGAACACACACCGGGGAGAAGCCATTCACATGCCCTACCTGTGGGAAAAGCTTCAGCCGAGGATATCACTTAATCAGGCATCAGAGGACCCACTCAGAAAAGACCTCCTAGCATAGTCTCAGAGAGGAGCTCTGCATTCAGCAATTACCCAAGGATGGGATAAGAGAAGCCCTCTGGTCAGCCAAGAAGGCCTTTGCGTGGGAGTCACCCCTGGTGGCCCAGTCCTTATGTTGCCTCTTCCCAGCACTCCATGCAAGTCGTGGTCAGAAGCTCTCACCCTGCTTCTTTGCCTTGAGGAGTTGAGGTTTCTTCTTGACTGAAGTGTACCTACTGCTACCGCATGGGTTGAAGTAGGAGAACTAGAATACTTCAGAGGTTGCAGTTACTCTTTTCCAAAAACTATCCTGATAAACATGCTAAAGACTGCTTGACAGCCTCAAGTTTAAAGTGGCCAAGGACAATCCGTTAGGATTTGGTAAGGGATCAGTCCAGTCTGAAGGATTCTGTCCTTACTGGGCTCAAACCTGAAAGCACACAGGCCTGAACTCAAGACAGGAGATTTGCATCCTGATAACCTTTGCCTCTTGAGGGTAATTGTATAAATCTATCCCTGTCTGATTCACTCCTTCACCATGCACTTTCCTTTGACGCTGAGGGGAAATGGGAGAAGTGATCAGTGGGCAAAAACTCCAAAGCTGCTTAACAGGGACCTTGTTCAGCTGCTGCCTTCCCCACTGTCAAAATGAAACAGGTGCCAGACACTGCTAAAGAGGAGGGCCTAGATAGATGCCTCTTCCCTTGTGGGATTTTTTTTTTCTAAGTCTTAGTACTCATGCCGTTAACCTTCCTACTGTTCAGCCAGTCTCTTGGTTTTGTTTCTCGCCCTTCTGCAAGACAGATGTAGTGTTTGAATGCTGAGGGATTCCGTAAAGCGTAATGAAATCATAGTGAAATCATTTACATTCCCACATGTATACAAGCCTGCCCACCTCTTTTCACCACCTACTTATGGGTTGCATGAGAGTGGGTGACAGTATCAGATTTTGAAGGCACTATATTCTAGGATCATTGAGGAGATGACATCACTGACACAAAGAAAACTGAAACCAAACTATAGCAAAACAAGCAAAAAGTGGTTGCTGCTGGCCAAAATCATCAAGACTCTTCTGGCACCCAGTTCTCTCCATTCCTGCTTCAGTTCTCCAGTGCCAGGAAAATCCATGAGCCCCAGCACCTAGGACCCTGAGGAATTTACCAGTAGTAAATGGCTTTCATGTAGTTTTGTCATTTGCTTTTCCTTATGTGATTTCATTTTCATGTAACCAAGAACTGAATTATAGTATCACGATGGCCCAAGGATCGCTGTTGCCGGAAAAAAAAAAAAAAAAAAAAAAAAAACTTCACAGAGATGAGGCTTAAAGATTATGAACCTCACTGTTCTGATTATGGGAGTGGCAAGGACCGGGACATGTCCTCCAGAAATGGAGCACAGGGTATGGGATTAAAGCATGAGAAGGGAGAGTCCTGTGTGCCTGGTTTATTCCATTTCACAACTCATTTTTTGCCAGCGTACACCAGAGGAAAATGAACAGGCTTGCTACGTCCCCAACACTGTCAGCTCAGCAAGTAAATTCTCATTTGGGTCAGTAATGCTATTTTGATGGACTGGTTAATTTTGCTACCAATCCACCATGGCCCCAGAAAAACAAAGGTAAGAAATAAAAGTAACATGAATTAAATGAGACCCTGGACTGGCAGCCAAGTGCCCTAGTTTCTGGGAGCTTGTGTGTTTGTTGTTGTTGTTTTTCCTCCCATACCTTTCCAAGGCTTCAGGTCCCTCGAGGCTTCAAAAGTCACTCTCATCTAGATATGTGAGGGCAGTAATTAACCATGAGGCTAGAGAAGATGTTAGATGAAGATGAATTCACACTGCTAAGGGCCAGCCTGGAGTTGCAGAAGAGACTTGGGATACACTGGGATTTCTCAACTGTGTGCTTAACACCTGAGCATTTATCCTGGGTGAAATGTCAGCTTCAAAAGATAATTCTACCAGTTCCTATTTAGCTGTTTATAGGAGATAATGTAAGACTAGAGATGGAAGGACAAATTAGCGTTTTTTGATTTATCTGACTTCTCATAATGCAGGGAACATCTGTCAAGAAGACCATACAGAAGGGAAGGTTTCAGAGACTATCTGTTGGATCATGAAATAGTACTTCCATGGCTGATCCTGTGAATTTTTACTGTACTGACAGGAAGTCTATGGTCCTTGTTAGAAATGTTTTCTGAGGTTCCCATAGGAAAGGGGCATCTTCCAAATCAGCACAAACAGGAATAGTTTCCAGCAGCAGAGGCCATAAGAGCCGAGGATGCGAAACAGCAGCAGGGTCTAGGGAGGTGAATCCAGAGCATGGGAACAGTCAGTGTAAGGGGCAGCTAGAATTTGGTCAGCAGTTGGGTTGTTGATTACCATGCTAAATAAAAGTATAAAAGAAAAGGAGTTCCTTAAGGTGGCATTTCAAGGAAGCTATAGAAATCTACCAAATCAGTTAATGAAAATGACTAGGTTGTTGAAAGTGATAAAGGAAATAATGATAGTAGAATGTTATTCAACCAGATAAAATTTAGAAGGAAGCAAGTGTCCATTTCCCCCACAGGCACACACCCCACTACAAGGTCCCAGGAAAGAAAAATGCTGTGAGAAAGAAAAATGTATTATCTGGGAATTGGGCCTCATCCTCTGGAGTAGACTCTAGTGATCACAGGTGTACTCAGTGAGAATTTATTTGCACTAATATCGAAATAGTAGAATCAAGGCAGGCAAACGCAACTTGCCCCTTTTTTTTTAAAGTCCAAATTACTTGATCTACTAGAAAGTGCAAATTTTCAATGAGTAGCACCAAGTGTGAACAGGAAGGTGTCCCAGTAAGAGAGTTGGCAGGGTTCATTTATCACATATCAGAACACCAGGTTTTAGATGCTGCTGCATGAGGGAAATGAGACAATAAATGAATTAATTTTTAAGAGGATTTTTTACTAGATTCTTGGAATGTTGGCAATCAGAATGGGAGTGTTAATTGGGCTCTATGGGACCAAGAAATAGTTAATTGAAGGTGTTCCAAACTAATAATTCAGTGCCTTTTCACACCAATATTTTTTAGTTTTGCCTCTACCATTTCCATTTGATCTTGTGAATACTTCCAGCCACAATAACTCTGAGAGAAGTAACACCTAAAATTATTCCCATCTTCATGTATTTCTAGAGAACAGCTGGTTCAAAGGGAAAGACTGAAAGCCAAGAAAAGGCTCTACCTTGCTCCCAACCTTTATTATGGTTAAGTAACCAACAGGACATCTGTACATTTGAGCCCATCTTTTTGGAAGTGGCTTAACTTGATTCACCCTTGAAAATCCTAAAAAGCAAGAAATCGTCATGACAAATTCTTCCAACCAAGCTTTGATCACTCTCTTTAATAGTAAAAAGAAGATGTTTGCCAGGATTGTAAGCAGGAAGATTTCCCATAGTGTGCAATTCCTACTGTTAACTATGTGCATTGTATCGGTGGGGTAGAACAAGGACTTGACTAAAATCCCTGAAAAGGAGTCTCAACACATACTTGATTATTTGGCAATCTGTAGAAACAGGAATTTTCCAGATGATACTGGGGGAGAGCTGAAGAGTTGCAGGATTACAAAGACCTGCAGACACTAGCAGATAGCCAAAGCAGAAAGATGATCCTAGCCTGTTCAAAGTGCTGTATAAATCTTAGTAATGTCATGTCAAGAATAGGGCCCGGCGGCATGGCATAGTGGCTACAGTCCTCACCTTGAACGCACCTGGGATCCCATATGGGTGCCGGTTCTAATCCCAGCAGCTCCACTTCCCATCCAGCTCCCTGCTTGTGGCCTGGGAAAGCAGTCGAGGACGGCCCAATGCTTTGGGACCCTGCACCCGTGTGGGAGACCTGGAGGAAGTTCCTGGCTCCTGGCTCTGGATCGGCTCAGCACTGGCTGTTGCACTCACTTGGGGAGTGATTCATCAGGCAGAAGATCTTCCTCTCTATTTCTCCTCCTCTCTGTATATCTGACTTTGTAATAAAAATAAATAAATCGTAAAAAAAAAAAAACAAAACAGGACAACACCTGAAAATGGACATGTGCACAGGAATGATACAAGGTTTTCCATAAAACAATTGATCAGCCTCGTATCTATTTGCTCCGTTAGTTGTACTTTAATCCTAGAAGAATCCAGAGGACTATCAGGGAAGGCTTCAGGGAGAGAACTGCAGATGTGGCCCGGTGTTTGGGTTCCATTACTGACCTTCTCCAAAGGGTCTACAGAGAAGTGATTCCAAGTTGAGAGTGGAGGGGCAAATGGAATCAAAAAAAACTAAATCAGTATAAAAGGTGGGAAATCTGTTTTAGTGCTTCCTATGAGATACTCTGAAAAGCCCCTCTACTGAAACAGAACTACATTTTTAATAAGTTATTACAATAGAGAATAAAATTAGGACAGGGCAATCATAATTTTAACATTTACTAATTGTTCAGGATAAGAGCTGTGGGATGTTGGTTAATGATGACATTGTTTGATCAAAAATATTCTGTACAACATCAAGGATAATCCTAAGGAAATAAAGTGATTTTCTAAATAATGCAGAAAATGGAAATCCAAAACGTGAAATAGAAGACTGCCCGAGGAAAAACAAAAACATAAGCATAGGAAAGATGAAATTAATAGGATTGCAGAGATCACACCCCTAGTACATGAATAAAAGAAAGTTAGCTATCAGTTAAACTATTACTACAGTGGGTGGAAAAGTGAATTTTTGTGCAAGACACATATGTAAATGTGTGTATATATAGTACAGAAAAATAAAGAGTAAAAAGAAAAATGTGCTAGTGAAATATTAATAGGTCAGTTATTTTTCAGTATTGACTGAAACCATATTTATATTGCAAAAGCATGAAATGGCCCCCACATAATTAAATGTTTTTTATAAAGATTTATTTTTATTATTTTTTCATTGGAAAGGCAGATATACAGAGAGGAGAGACAGAGAGGAAGATCTTCCGTCCGATGATTCACTCCCCAAGTGAGCGCAACGGGCCGATACTATGCCGATCCGAAGCCAGGAGCCTCTTCCGGGTCTCCCACGCGGGTGCAGGTTCCCAAAGCGTTGGGCCGTCCTCGACTGCTTTCCCAGGCCACAGGCAGGGAGCTGGAAGGGAAGCGGGGCTGCCGGGATTAGAACCGGCGCCCATATGGGATCCCGGGCGTGCAAGGCGAGGACCTTTAACCACTTGCGCCACCGCGCCGGGCCCAACACATAATTAAATGTTAAATCCACCAAGAATGTAAGAATATATAGAAGACACACATTTCTGTGGGTCTTAGACAATATAACAGAAGTTCATAGACTTACACAGGAGAATTAGCAAATCTATTATTTTATTGATCAATTTAAAAGTACTCTCTCAGTTATTAGTAGATTAACCAAATGAAAAAACAAGGCAGAAACATACTTACAAAACAGAATTTTATGAGAAATAAAGATCCATGGTACAGAATTATATAAAACACATAAAATAATTGTTAATGTATAGTAAAATAAGCTCTCAAGAAATTTCAAAGGAAGATATACAGATGATTTACTGTAACACCAATATATTTTATTTGAAAACAGCAAAATACTTTAATTACTGTGTTTTCAGGTGTTATAAATAATTCTTGCTTCTATAAATTCTATAAATTTATATATAACTGCCTCTATAATTCTTGCATGAAAATGAGATTATTATGAAAATTTATTGAAAGTTACAGCTAAAATTAAATAGAAATAATGTGTATCCAAATTGTTGCAGACAATAAACATGTTACTTGCAGGATTAGAAAAGAGATAAGATGCCAGAGGCCAGCTCCAGCCAAGTTGGAACTCGAGAAGGGTGCGTGAAATAGGCGTAGGGAGAAAAGAAATGGACCTCTACAATTTCAGGTTCGTAATGGACAATGCAAGGAAGCTGTTCACTTTATTTATACAGAAGCAGTCACAAACTCTGGCACAGACTTTTTACGTAATGGTGATGCATCCACTCGATCACAGAGTGTAGCCCCAAGCAGTGCAATCACAAAGTTTTCTTTAGGGGCAGTTTGACATAGCTTCAAGAGGGGTACAATTTACAACAGCTTGAGTGCGGAAAGATTATGCATTCTTGGCTTATCTCCGCTTGCCACCCCCTGCCTGCTCGCCTCAGGTCTGGGTTCCAACCTTGGCACCACCTGTGACAACCAGACCCAGATCTTGAATTATCTATGGGTTAATAAGTCTGGGGCCTTGGTTTAGATCAATTGGCATTAGTTGGCCATTAGGCCTGCAAGTTCACACAGTTTTTTAGCTAAGCCAGTAAAGAAGGA